AAAAAGGTATTTGAAATGAAGAAGTCATTGGTCTTTCAGAATTCTATCATCCAACCAATAGCAACCCTGCAGTTGGTAAGAAACCCAATGACTTATTGTATTAGGCAAATCTGCTGCAAAAGCCCTTTTAAATAGTTCAAGAACAAAGACATCACTCTGACGAATAAGATGAGGCTGACCTAAGCCATGGCATTTTCAATCTTCTCATATACATGTGAAAGCTGGACAGTGAATAAGAAAGACTGTAGAAGAATCAATGTATTTGAATTATCATTTTGGTGAAGAATACTGACAGTATCATGTACAACCAGAAGAACAAATCTGTCTTGGAAGAATTAGAGCCAGAATTTTCCATAGAAGTGAAGATGGCAAGATTTTGCATCTTGAACTTTGGACATGTTGTCAGGAGAAAGTCATCATGCTTGGTAAAGTGGACAGTCAGCAAAAAGAGGAAGATGTGCAAGGAGATGAAATAGCACTCTGGCAGCAACAATGGGCTCAAACATAAAAACAATTGTGAAGATGACGTAGGACCAGGCAGGGGTTTCATTCTGTTATGCATAGGGTCACTATGAGTCGGAACTGACTGGGTGGTACCTAACAACAATAACATACCATAAGGAAACTGAAAGTACAGCTCATCATGACTAGAATATATAGTATGTGGTAGGAAATACATGGAGATGAATTTAAAGAGACTAGCAGGGGCATGGAGTCCTAGTATGGTGCTGTGGGTTAATGCGCCGGACTGCAAAGCCATTTGAACTATAAGGTTGGCGGTTCAAGCTCACCAGCTGCTGCTCAAGAAACCCTATACAGGGTTGCTATTGGTCAAAATCAACTCCACAGCGCTTAACAACAAGTAGGGGCATGGCAACACAGTGGCTCTGTAGAATAAACACTGGACTGCGAACTAGAAGGTTAGTAGTTTGATCCGAAAAGCAACTGTGCAGGAGAAAGATGAGTTGTAACTAACTCGACAGTATCTAACAATAACATACAGGAAGGACAATGCAGCACAAGTCACTATTATTAGAATCTACAGTTATTGTTATTGTTGACCTTGTGGTTCAAACCAACCTTGCAGTCTAATGCTTATCTTACAGTGCCATGTTATATGTGGTAGGAAATGGAAGAAGATGAATTTAGAGAGACTAGCAAAAGTCATTGGGGTGCAATGGCTCCATAAGATAAACACTGGACCACAAACCACAAGGTTGGTGGTTTGAGCCCAAAAGCTGCTCTGTGGGAGAAAGATGAGACTTTTTGTTCCTGCAAAGATTTACAGCTTCAGAAACTCTACACCCGGTCGCAACGAATCATAACTAATTCAACATTTAACAACAACAGCAGAGGCCATATCAAGAATTTTTTATATCAGTCATACTGAGGGCTAGAGGGGCTACTGAAACTATGGCCCTATACTGCTCCTCAGATCTTGAATTTAATCTAGGCCCTGATCCTTACTTTTAAACTAATTGTTCAGTCCAAAGAATAAATACCCTTGAGGTATTACATTACTTGAAAATAAATTATTTAAAAAATAATCACTATAAAACCAATGGGCAGATGGCTATTTCACAGCATAGATGAGAATGTGGGGTGATTACATTCTCATTTATAGAAATAATGATTATGTTGATACAATGTGAAGAATGTACCAATGTTATACTGATCATTATGCCTACACACTGGAAAGAGCAGGTTTTGCTGTATATATTTCACCACAAATAAAATTATGCTTTTTTTAAAGGTGGACCGTTTGATAACACAGTTCACAAAAACAATACCCCTACATCACGGAGCAGAGACTGGGATCTTAAAAGTTCAGGAGCAGCCATGTAAGGTACAACTATTAGTCTTTCCCTGTCCAGAGGACAGAAGAATACTGAAAATGGAAGACGCTTAGAAACAATTAGTTTAATGGACTAATGGACCATGTAAACATGAGTCTCCATGATCCTGAAACCAGAAGAACTAGAAGATACCCAGAAACTATTACTAACTCTTGTGAAAGGGACAGCATCAGAAGGTCCTGAACAGATGGGAGAAAATGTGAGAAGAAAAAAATATATAAATAAAAAATAGCAAAAAGGCCAACCTCAGAAAGAGACTGATGGAACACACAGATTAAGGCCCATGTCACCCTTCATCTCTGGAACTGAATTTACCCCGGAGGCTTAATTTTCAGTTAAGAAATATACAGATACACAGGCAAGGCAACAATATTAGAGAGATATGAATATCAAAGAATAGACAACGACCTGAGCTCAAAAAGGGAAAATTAACCTAAGGAAAAAATTCATAAGGGTGGGACTAGGAGGAGTGGCAATAAGAAACCCAGGGAGGCAGTGGGATATATAGTGTTACACTGAGGGACTGCAATCACTGAAGTATAGGATCTGTTCAATGTAAAACTCATCATCTTCTCTGTAAACCTTCACTCCATTCACAATAATCTTTTTTTAAAACTTTTTTTAAAAGGGCCTTTGAAATTTTTAATTTATAAGGCTAAATGGAAGGATTTTAGACAGAGGTGTGATGTTCTGTATGTGATTTTTAAAGACTCCTTCACTATGAATGGTTTGTCCAATGCCTTCACTCACATTAAGCTTGTTGGGCAATTTCAACAATGTCATATATTAGTAATCAATATAAGTTACATATCAAATATATAGGAAAGATAAAAATTTACAACAAATGCAGAAGATTTACAAGTAAAAATGAACACTGCACCACCCACCCCACAAAAGTTTTACAGATTTTAAAGAGCAAGGGGAAAGTGGGGGAACCATTGTGGTAGTATAATTACATTGACATCAGATGCCTACCTTTACTTCACCACCTCCACCAGCACTTAGCACATTTTTCCATCCTTGTTCCCTGGCCCTGTTTATTCTCTCCAGCTTTTGGAAAAAATAAACAAAACACCATTTCAAGTACTTAATATTAAATTCATAAAATGTATTTAGCAATGAAATGAAAATTGATGTATTCCTTTTTAAAAAAAAAAAAGTGTGTGAGACATTATGCTGAATGAAATCAGTCAGTCAAAAAAGAAAATATTGTGTGACTTCACGTATGTAAAAAGAAAAGACAAATGTATAAAGAACGAAATGTGTTACTGATCATCAGGAGCAGGTTGTGGCGCTGTAGAATAAGCACTAGACTGAGAACCTCAAGGCTAGCAGTTTAAATCTGCCAGCCGCTCCTTAGAAACCCTGCACAGGGTTGCTATGAGTCAGAACCAACTCCACAGCACTTAACATCGGGGCAGAAAGGAAGGAGGAAAAGACAATTGATGGTGATAAAAGAATTTGGTATAATTCTTCAATTCAATCTTTATTGGCTTTAGCAGTTGCTGTGCATATTTGAATAATAGTAGTATCAATTGGTCTTCCTTGTAGATGTATAGATATTATCTTATCACAGACAGCATTGTACTTCAAGATAGATCTTGAGATGCTCTTTGTGAATGCAAAGTCATTCCTCAGTTTGTCATCCAGCATAGTAAATCATATGAATGTATAATTCAAAATGGCCAATATCAGTCCATTTCAGCTCACTAATGCCTAGGATATCAATTTTTATGTGTTTCATTTCATTTTTGACAACTTCCAATTTTTCTAGAGTCTTATTTCATGCAATTCATGTTCTGATTATTAATGGATGTTTGCAACTGTTTTGTCTCATGTTGTGTTGTGCCCTATGAGCAAATATAGGTCCTGAATGTTTTGCTCAATTCATATCATTAAGGTTAACTCTACTTAGAGGAGGCAGCTCTTCCTCAGTCATATTTTGGGTGCCTTCGAACCTCAGCGGGTTATCTTTTGGCACTGCATCAAACAAAAAACAAAACTGATATGTTTTTCAATAGCAAACAATTCAGAACTGCTCTGCCTTTCCTTTTTCCTATTCTATCTCAGTCAGGAACCTCTGTTCAACCTGTTCACAATGGGTGGCCCTGCTGGTCCTTAAAATATTGGTGGCATACCTTTCAGCATTACAGCAAGACATAGCAATCATAGTAGGACAAATTGACAGATAAGTAGTGGGTCTTCCTTTTAAGTGTACAGATATTACCCTATCACAGATAGATTGTACTTTAAGATGAATCTTGAAATGCTCTTTTCAATGATGAATGAGACACCATTCACGTTCAATTTGTTGCTCCCAGCACAGAATATATGCTTGTTTGATTCAAAATGGCACATACCAGATCATTTCAGCTCACTAATGCCTAGTATATCAATCTTTTTGCATTCCATTTCATTTTTTACTTGCAATTTTCCTAGATTCGTACTTTGTACATTCCATGTTTGGATTATTAATAGAAGTTTACAACAATTTATTTTCATTTTGAGTCATGCTTCATCAGTACATGAAGGTAATGATAGCTCTGCTACATCTATGTCATTAAGGTAGACTCTACTTTGAGGCAGCTTTTTCTCAGTAGCATTTTGTGTGCCTTCTAAACTGAATGGCTCACCTTCTGACACTGTATCAATATTTCACTCCTATTATTTAACATTTTTTGTGACTAATCCCTCACAAGTCAACTGAGTATTCCTTCTCAACTATTCTTAGTCTGAAAGCCCCACTGAAACATGTCCACTACATGTCACCCTTTAGGTACTTGAAAAACCAGAGTCACAGCTTCCATCATCACAGCAAGACACAAGTCACTGCAGACAAACTGTCCAACATGTGAATGCCTAGCTTCCTATATTGAATATTTTGATCAATGATGCCTGATTACAATGGGAGAAAGCAGAAAAGAACTTCAAATTATTTGGAATTCAAATATCTAGGAGTCATGAAGGTTTGATGAATCCTTTAACCTATTGCCCTAAAATAATCCTTAAACTTAAAGCAAAAATATCCTCTAAAGTCTTCTTAAAAACAAAGACTGTGTGTAACTTAATTAGTAAAACCTGTCTATCTAAATGGGATCACATTTACCCCAGCAATTCAAAACATTAGCTAAAAAGCTTGTTGTTCTTAGATGCCATTGAATCAGTTCTGACTCACAGCAGCCTTATGCAAAACAAAACGAAACACCCCCCAGTCCCATGCCATCCTCACAACTGTTGTTATGCTTGAGCCCACTGTTTTTGTCACAGCATCAATCCATCTCGTTAGGGATCTTCCTCTTTTTCACTGACACTTCACTTTACTAAGTATGATGTCCTTCTCCATGGACTAGTCCTTCCTCATAACATGTCTGAAGTCTAAGGAGCGAAGTCTCACCACCCTGGCTTCTAATGAGCATTCTGGATACACTTTTTGCGAGACTGATTTGTTTGTACTTCTGGAAGCACAAATTCAAATACATCCATTCTTCTATAGCCTTCTTTATTCATTGAGGGTCCAACTTTCACATACATATAAGGTGACTGGCAACACCAAGGACTGGATCAGTCATAGTCAGTCCTCAAAGTGACATCTTTGCTCTTTGACATTTTAAATTGGTCTTTTTACAGCATATCTGCCTAATGCAATACATCATTTGATTTTTTTGACTGCTGCTTCTAAAAGCATTGATTGTGGATCCAAGCAAAATGACGTCTTTGGCAACTTCAATCTTTGCTCCATTTACCATGATGTTATTTATTGAACCAGCAGTAAGGACTTCTGTTTTTTTTTTTTTTTACAATGAGGTGCAATCCATACTGAAAGCTATAGTTTTGATCTTCATCAGTATGCATGAAGTTTGTTGTTGTTGTTGTTAAGTGCTGTCGACTTAGTTCCAAATCATAGTGACCTGTATACGATTTCCAAGTGTGACTGTTGGGTTTGAAGTACCAACTTTGCAGTTAGCAGTTCACTGCTTATACTACAGCACAACACAGGGATTCCTGTTAATGGAGGAAGAACAACTCAGAATAGGCAGGTGGGCATGGAATGGTAAATCATTTAAGATCAGAAGGGCAACATTTACATAAGGACAAAGTTGAGAAGGGAAAGAAAGGAGGGAGGAATGGAAATAGGAAACATAGGAAGGAAGTGGGACAACTTATTGCATGGAGGGATTGCAATCGCTAAGATGAAACAAAGTGTACGTTTTTATTATAAAACTAAGGATCTTATCTGTAAACCTTCACATAATTCATAATAACAAGTTTAAAAAAACAAAAAACAAAGGAGGTTGAGAATGGCTACAAAACTCAATGAATTTAATCGATGTCACTAAGTGATATATGTTGAATTGGTGTATATTTTCTGCTCTCACATTCGCAACAAAAAAATATAAAATGTATGTGTATGTAAAAGAAAAAAGTATGTGTTAATGTGCAAGGAGGAAGAATGTCCATGGGAAAAGTGGATTATCCTCTTACCCTTTCTTTTTCTTGTCTTTTCATTTGTTCAGCCCTCATTAAACTAATCTGTAACAATTTTAAAGACAAATGCTTAAAATTCTTAAAATCATATCATCCAAAACTTGGCAAAAAAACAACAACAATCAATTACCTGTTCCTTTTGTTTCATTTCTTTTTCAGCAAATTCCAATCTTCTCTTTCTTGCTGGTTCCTTAAATTCCAAAAAAAGAGAGAACACTTTCATCAATAAAAATGTTTACTTTTTCTGATGACATCAAATAAATTAATACATCAACTGCAGATGTGCCCAAGAAGGTAAAATTAAAATTTTAAGTTAGCGTTTTTTAGTTAAAAGAAATAAGGAGGAAAGGTTTGGAGGTTTTGTACTACACTTAATTTTGTTATAAATATTTTTGCATTGCTTAAAATAAGCAGATATCTTTATACCTCAAACATTTTCCTCCTTTCTTCTCTAGGATTCACTTTCTTCACTGTAGTCTGATGGGTCTGGACAAAAAGTAAAACTACAAATTAGAGGTTCTGAGGCACCTTTGAAAATTCCAAATTTAATGGAAATTTGAAGAAAGCAAAGGTAAAAAGACAATACTGCTAACAATCCTCCTTCATAATATATTATCTCCAGAGTTGAAGAACCACTATAATGTTTGATATGCTTCTTTAAAACACAAAAGAAATTTATTAAATTCAATAAACTGTGTAAACAATTCTCCCCTAATCATTATTACATAGTGTGGCATACAGTTACAGTTAATTTTAATAGCTTTCTAATATTTTAAAAATAGAATTTTACTTGAAAAAAACAGAAATGGAGAAAGAAAACTTCAGAAGAATATTTATACAATAAGTGTTTATCATATAAAAATCTATATAAAATTCTGGTGCTGACAGTGTCCCACTGCTATTCATAAGGTTTTCCAGTGACTAAATATTCACAAGTAGTCTGTTTCTCCTTCTTCCTACTCTGTCTTCATCTGGAAGGAAGCTCAGTTGAAACCTGTCCACTATGGGTGACCCTGCTGGCATTTAAAATATCCATAGCATAGCTTCAAGAATCATAGCCACACATAAGCCACCACAGTATGATAAACTGACAGATGAGTGGTAGCAAATATAGAGAACTGAGAATGTAACACAGACAAAAGGTGTGGCAGCTTGCTTCTAAAAAGTTTACTTTGTCCTCTAGGGTTGCTATGGAATGCTGGAGTCATCCTGTAGGATAAGTACTAAACTGCTGACCACAATTTAAAAATGACTACAACTATACATTAACAGAAAACTTCTAGAGGTCCAAATCATGGAATGAGGGATACCATTGCTAAGTTCAAACGGATATTGGCCGAAAGCAGAGAATACCAAAAAAAAATATTTATCTGTGCTTTACTGACTATGCAAAGACTTGTAATTGGGTGGATCATTACAAGCTATGGACCACAGAGAATGAGTATTCCAGAATACTTAATTGTGCTCATAAGGTATCTGTACATAGACAAAGAGGCAAGTGTTCAAAGATAACAAGGGAACACTGAATGGTTTGATATTAGGAAAGGTATGCACTAGAGTTGTATTTTTTTACCATACTTATTCAATCTGTATGCTGAGCAAATAATCTGAGAAGCTAGATAATATGAAGAAAAACGTTGCATCTAGAATGGAGGAAAACAGCAGTGGCTGCCAGAACACAACTGGCACTTCCGTGCCATCTTCTCCAGTGTTACTCAGTTCTCCTCCCTTTCTTCCTGTAGTAATCAACAGGCCATGGCAGACCCTCAAGTGAGGCAGATCAAAATCAAAATTAGAGTAGTGAAGGAACTGGTCAAAGAAAAAGTAATGTATGAATAAGAAGCAAAACAACAAGAAAAAAAGACTGAAAAAATGAAGGTGAAGATGGTGAAAATTATGCCATTAAAAAACAGGCAGAAGGAGAACAAACAAGATGACAGATAGGGTAAAATTGCAGTGAGGAGCTCCATCACCAAAAACACAGAATATCGGACCAAGCAGGCTCGGGGGATGGTCCCAGAAATCTGAACTACATATAAAGGAATATTTAGAAAGTTGAAAGGCTTACAGGCTTACAGCCAGTGGAATTTGTAGCAGAAGCAAGAAATCCAGTGCTTTCTAACCCAAGGCACTAAGCTACTCCCTGAGCGGCCATCTTAGGTGAGACTGAACGGGGGAAGGCCTAAGATTCACGTTGGATAACATGAAGAGAAATAACTTAAGAATTATCAGCATTCTGGAACAGGAAGATTCACACAAGCCCAAAAAGGAAAGAGTTGAAAAGCTCTGGAAGAAAATTTCCCTAACATCCTGAAAAGCAAAAAGATATGCATTCAAGCAGCACCAAGAACCCCAGGAAGGCGAGACCCTAAAAGAAAATCACCAAGACATATAATAATCAGGCTCTCCAAAATCAAAGATAAGGACAGAATCCTGAAAGCAGGTAGGGAAAAGAAAAGTGTAACATACAAAGGCAAACAAATCAGATTAAGCTCATATCTCCCAAATGAAGCCATGCAGGCAACAAGGCAATAGGGAGACATACATAAAAACCAGAAAGAAAAAACCTGACAACCAAGAATCTTCTACCAAGCAAAGCTGTCAATCAAATACAATGGAATAATCAAAACACTCAAGGATAAACAGGAGCTAAGGGATTTGTCAAAGCAGCATACTGAGAGGAAGAGAGCAGATAGAGGCACGCCTGCTGGCTTGACTAAGAAGAGGCGCTCAGGACCAGAAGTACTATATTCTGATGATAACCTGTTAACTTCCCTAATAAATCCTATAATTGTGAAGGGAAAAAAAAAATCTTTGTAGGATCAAAAGTCCTCATCTTTCTCCCACAGAGCAGCAACTGGACACAAACCACCAACCTTGTGATTCCCAGTCCAATGTATACCCTACAAGTTTTACAGGGCAAGATCATCAGTTTTACATTCAACAAATCATACACCTTGTTTCATTACAATGATTACAATCCCTTCCATGTACCATCAGTTAAGAGTATATCTCTCTTCACTTTAGCTCTTTTTTATTTTAAAAAAATCACTCAGGCATATATAATAATTTACACCACCAAAGGGCACATTCTGCAAGTCTGCCTTCTGGGCGCCAGCTCTTAGTCCCTTCACACCCATGAATCTAGTCTTCAGCTGCTCCCTTCTCTCCATGACCCCATCTCTGCCTCCATCTTTGGTGTCACTACTTCTCTGGATAAGGTCTCACATTCTACTTGTGCTCTTCTTCCTTGATGATACTGGGGTCCTCTATTCTGGACTGTAAGATTAACCACTCCCCTACTTTTGTTACAAAACTTTTACTATTACAAGGCCACCCTGCTCCCCACTGTATGCACTTAAGAACATGTTAATTATTTATGTGCATATGCAGAATTGAGTTCTATGCTTTTAAGGCAATGTGTTTTTTCTATTTAAAAAATGTTTTTATAAAAAATTAACATTGCATTTTGACACTGACAAAACAGGGTAACAAATTATGAACTCCCATTCTTCTGGGTATTATGTTGTTATTGTTGTTGCTAGTTGTTTTTGAGTCAGTTCTGACTCATAGTAACCCCTTGCAGAACAGAACAAAACAATGCTCAGTCCTTTGCCATATTACTGTTATATTATTATTATATTTGAGTCCATTGTTGCTGCCCATGTCAGCCCATTTCATTGGGGATCTTCCTCTTTTTTGCTGTCCCTCCACTTTACCAAATGTGGTTATTATAACTACATTTAATTTGTTGAATCATGAACCCACAGACTGGGAAAAAATCTTTGGCCACAATAGATCAGATAAGGGACTCATCTCTAGAATATACAGGAAAATACTACACATCTACGAAACTAAGACGAATAACCCAATTAAGAAATGGGCACAGGATATGAACAGACACTTCACCAAGGAAGAGATCCGGGCAGCCAACAAACATATGAAGAGGTGTTCACGATCACTAGCCATTAGAGAGATGCAAATCAAAACAACAATGAGACACCATCTCACACCAGTAATAACAGCAAAAATAAAAAAATCTGAGGACAATAAATGCTGGTGGGGATGTGGAGAGACTGGGACACTCCTGCATTGTTGGTGGGACTGCAAAATGGTCTAACCTCTCTGGAAAGCAATATGGTGCTTCCTCAGAAAGTTGAAAATAGAAATACCATTTGATCCAGCAATTCCTCTACTTGGTATTTACCCACAAGAAAAACGAGCCACAACATGGGAAGATATATGCACACCAATGTTCATAGATGCACTATTTACAATAACAAAAAGATGGAGACAGTCAAAATGTCCATCGACTGAAGAATGGATAAACAAGCTGTGGTACATACACACAATGGAGTACTATGCTACCTTGAAAAATAACAAGGAAGCTGCATGCCACTTCCTAACATGGATGAACCTTAAGGACATTATGTTATGTGAAATAAGTCAACCACAAAAGGAAAAATACTGCATAGGAGCACTACTGTAAAAGACTAAGAAAAAGAACCCATACTATCCCACTAAGGAGTATTCCTAGCAGGCTGCTAGGACACAGGGGTAGGGTTAAGGGCGGGAGAGGAAGGTGGAGCACAGGGCAAGGAATAGACACAAGACAGTTTGGTAGGTGGGGTGGGGGCAATATACAAGTAGGTAGAGGGGAATGGAAGAACAAAGCAGATGGGAGGACGACTAGACAAGTATGAAGGAGCTAAATGGGACAAAAGTAAAAAGTGATGCAGGCCCAGCCTTGGAACAACAGGATCCTGGGATACAGAGACTGGGATAGGGTTGGGAGGGGGAAAAGGGGGGAATAATGGTATGATGCTTGGCTGACTTTTGAACCTTGGCTTCCCAAACATTATATTATAAAACAGACACAGGAGGGGAACAAAAAGGAATAGCCAGAGGTGTCACCATAGAAAGCTTGTAAGTCTGTCTTCTGCCTATAACTGATTGGAATACCTAAATTGGGACTACAAGGTATCCTGTGAAGGAGGATTCCTGAAGAGCCTCGGCAGTACAGAAGAATATAAATCAAAGCCTAACCACATCCAGACTTCCAGAGATGGGAAACCTTTTTCTCGAAAGGGCAAGCAGATCAGCCTGGAGCAGCCAGAAAACCAGAAGACACTCCTTGAAAGAAAGACCTACAGGAAAAACACAGAACACTAAGGGCAGTCTGACTGCTACCACAAGAACAAGTAAGCTCCTAGCCCAGGAGACATCAAGGCAAGTGGACGGGTCCTCTCAGCACAAATCCTCTCCCAAGACTAAGACGCAACAGAAATACATGCTGTGATTGGCCACCACGCATGTCACCCATAAAGAGAAGTGGCCTAAGAACACCAATGAAGCGGTGAACTAAGCCCTGCACCATTCAGCAGACTACTGTGAACCTGGGTGGAGACTCGGTTGCCCAGCAGCGAGACGGGACCGGGGAACTCATGGGCTCAGAGTCAGTGACACAACTACAGAGGACTAGAGTG